CTCTCTCTTTGTGTATATGTACACATGCTTGCACACCACCTATGTCTCTGTCTCTCGCCCTCTCTCTCCCTCCCTCTTTTCCTCCTCTCCCTTCCATACCTTGATTTCTAAATGATAATGACATTGAGTCATCATTAAGAACTTGTATTTACTCTGAGAATAGAATCTATTTTAGTATCAGATTCAATTTGGTTATTACTTTATAAAATTTTTTTGAAGTAAAGAAATGTCTTTCATCTAAATTCTGATTTTGACTAATTCTAGTGATCCGTAGGAAAGTGGCTGTGTGTTGCCTGCTGACCCTTAGTTTCCAGAACATTGCACCCAACTACAGTTTCCTCTCTGTCAAATACAAATGGCAGTATCTGCATCAGGGCATTGTGGTCCAATAATTATACAAACATCTGTGCAACTTAAGCTCTTCTAAATGTTTAAACAGTTTATTAAAATGTCATTTACAATTTTAAAATCTAACTTGTAACAGAGAAAACTTTGCATTGTTCTTGAAAGTGTTGTATGGTTTTCTGTTTGATTGTCTTTGTATAAATTATTTACAATAATTACAACATAGTAATGGAGAAGTAACTTGTGTTTTCTTTTGTAGAGAAAATCTCTGCTGGCCTTAGAGAAGGAAGAAGAAGAGGAGAGGAGTAAAACCATCGAGAGTTTAAAGACAGCACTGAGGACAAAGCCCATGAGGTGCCTTCCCTTGGGTAGTGCAGCACCCTCTCCTTTCCTGTCCCTTCGCCTGCCCCTCCCCTCCCTTCTCTCCTTCCCTCCCTCTCTCCTTCCCTCTCTCCTCTCCTATTTGCTGCAGTGACCAAACTTTGCTAGGATTCTTTGTAACTGAACCATAGGTAGCTAGCTACTTTGATCACTGAACGTTTGAAAAATGCTTTCCTTTTAAAAGAGATGCAGATGTTTTTAAAGGAGGGAGAAGGAGATGGGGAGAGAGGAGAGAGAATGCTAGAGTACAGGGATGTCACGGCCATCATTCATTGCTCTTGGGAATGTCAGTGCAGCCATTTGGGAGTATAGTAGGACAGCTAGTCCCTCAGCCTTGAACATAGTGTTGTCACATGACCCAGCTGTCCTCCTAGGGGTGTAGACAAGGGAAATGAAGGTTGGCCCCAAAACACCTGTGCACAAGTATTCATTATCAGTCTTATTCAAAATAGCTTAAAAAAAATAGAAGCAACCCATATCCCTATCAGCTGACAGATAGGTAACTAAAACGTAGACTATTGGGATAGTTTTTTGACCACTGAATTGTGCCCTTTAAATCAATGAATTTTATGTCATGTAAACTGCATGTCAGTAAAACTATTATTAAAAATAAAGATGGGTTGACATTCTGGCAAGGAGTGAATTCTCTCTGATAACCATTTCCACTTTGTCTCTCCTATACCATCACGGCCCACTAACATCTCCAGAACTCAGTGAGGTGTTGAGGGTCTTACAGGTACATTTCACTAACACTAGTGCCATGAGTGAAGGGTCATGAAGTCGTGTGTGAGTGTGTGTGTAAGTATGTGTGTGTCATATACTCACACACATATATAATCTGTCTTTATTTAGTAAATAAAATGCAAACTTAAAAACATGCACTGAGCACTGCACAAGTATTTGATAGGGGTCGTCCAGGCATGACAGTGAACTTGCTCCTTCTATTGTGAACTCTATTGTGAATTCCCAAAAGCTGAGGGGTATCTGGAAGTGAGGGAGCAGAAGTTCCTTAGGTAGCCAGATAAGCAGGGTGTGTTATCTTGCACTGCCCTGGGGCTTTCACACACACACACATGCACTGTGATTCCTCATCAACTTAACAGTAAAGGTTATAAGGAGTGATAAAATTAATTCACAGAAAAAAGCCTTGGCTTTTAATCAGTTTTATGTATTAGGATTCCATGTAGTGTGTCATATAAAAGAAGGAATTTTCTATAAAACACCCTAGGAATAAAAGCAGTCATTTGTCTGATGAGCAATAGAATTGAAAGCTGCTGCTCTTTGACTTGTAGGGGCCATGGTGAGGGCCAATACACCAATATATGCAGCGCATATATGCTGCAGTAACTCAGATCAGCAGATGACTGTTAGCTGAGCACTGGAGAGACAGTCTAGGGGTGGGGCTATAGCTCAGTGTCAGTGGTTACTTAGCAAGTGTGAGGCCTTGAGTTCAATCGCCAATGCCAGGGAGAGGAGGACCAGATATGCATGCTGAGCAACTGCTATTCCTGGCTTTGTATGAAGATATGCCATGTTGGTTGGTTCGTTGTCCTAGCTGAGGTACGCATGCCTCCAATGGAGATTTTCTTTTTCAGTCTAGTTAGACAGACCTTTGGGTCTGTGCCATGGAAGAGCCAAAGAGTTACAAAGGCCTCATTAATGTAAGCCTTGGGGTTCTCCAGGAAGTGAGTCTACTTCCTTTCCCCTGGGCTTTTCTATCAAGGATGGTTACAAAAGCACAAAGGGACAAATCTAATCACCTCTCTTCCTGACAGGTTTGTAACCAGATTCATCGATTTGGATGGCCTGTCATGTATTCTCAACTTTCTGAAGACCATGGACTATGAGACCTCTGAGTCTCGGATACATACCTCCCTCATTGGCTGTATAAAGGCACTAATGAACAACTCTCAAGGCCGGGCCCACGTCCTGGCTCATTCTGAGAGTATTAATGTAATTGCTCAGAGTCTGAGCACAGAGAACATTAAAACAAAGGTGGCCGTGCTGGAAATCCTGGGCGCTGTGTGCCTGGTTCCTGGGGGCCACAAGAAAGTCCTGCAGGCTATGCTGCACTACCAGAAATATGCCAGCGAGAGAACCCGCTTCCAGGTAGGTGCCCCCAGGCTTTCTCACTCTGCCTGCTCTTGTCTTTGCTGGCCCTGAGGGGATTACTTGATAGTTCCCCCAGTAGTGAGCTTCACACCGTTGTCATCAAACAATTCCCTCTCTCTTAGATTGAAGAACCAGAAACTAGAATATGCTCTCTGTAGTCGATCAGTCTGGGGTCTGAGATATCCTGAACTCAAAACTGTGACCCTGAGCCTGGAGCACTTGTTGCTTTTACAGAGGGCCAAGGTTCAGTATTTCAGCACCCATGTGGTGATTCACAACCATCCATAATTCCAGTTCCAGGAGATCTGAGTCTCCTGACCTCTGTGGGCACCAAGTGCACACATAGTACACATACTTACATGCAGGCAAAACTCCCCTACAGAAAATAAAAGTGAATACATTTAATAAAATGCATTATAAAACAAAAAAAACCATGATGGCATCCTGTATCTTACATAGCTATTATTTTTTAATCCACTGAATGCAGTGGTCCCTGAAAAATCTATAGGTTACTATTCTTTATTTAGGATCAAAATTAATAGTGAGATTATGTCCTCATATTTTTACTCAAAAGGAGAAAGCAAATGGAGACAAGGAAGCATCGTTTCCTGTGAACACACCTGAATTTTGTGAATCAGTGTAATTCTGATTGAAATTTAAAAAATTGACCTCCACACATTAAAAAATAAAATTTCTTAAAATGAGCAGAGGTGGGGTTGTCAATGTTTTAGACCCTTATTTTTCTACTTGTATCATTGACAGACGTTAATTAATGACTTGGATAAAAGCACTGGGCGTTATCGGGATGAAGTGAGTCTCAAGACTGCTATCATGTCCTTCATCAATGCAGTGCTGAGCCAGGGAGCCGGAGTGGTAAGAAGCCTGCACTGCAGCCTTACACAGATGCGTTAGGAACGCTTTCCCGACACGGAGACGGCAGAGTCAGAAAACCTAAATGTGTGTTGTGTTGTCCTCTTTATTTTCAGGAGAGTTTGGACTTCAGACTCCATCTTCGATATGAATTTCTGATGTTAGGGATTCAACCTGTTATTGATAAATTAAGGGAACATGAAAACTCCACACTAGACAGGTAAGTCCTGCCATTATAGCCTGAGAGGATCCATGCAGTGTCCACCTCGTAGTGCAGTGCCAGCCCATGGGCTGCTTCTGGCCTGCCTGTCACCTCAGGAGCACACACAGCTTGGCACTTCAGGTCCTAATGATCTCTGGTGAAACTTTGTCCGTGAGGGAAGCAGCATGGCTTATAGACAGCTTCATGCAGCCCGAATCTGTCCTGCCAAAGTCTTGCTTCCTGCATGTTCTGCTGAAGTTACTCACTGAACTTTACTATTTTTAATACGTATAAAATGGTGATAATGGCAATGACAGCTGACCTCTAGTTCTGTCCTAAGAACCGACTCTAAGACCTGTGAAGTCGCTCAGTAACATGAACAGGCTTCCTGTGAGTGCCAGTTTGCAGCCGCTCTTCCTGTGTTAGCATTTCTAAGGTACCCCAGCAGCTTTCAGATGTTTATGGCCACCGCCACCTCCCTCGTCTACACACCCTGGCATGCTCTTCTCCTTGATGGTTGATGTAGGGGCCCAGACACTCTTGCTCGGGGCCCTTCTGTAGGGTGTCTTTGAATGACCTTCCATGGAGGCTCTGGTCACTTGTTACTCTTCAGAGAGCCCTCCCCACCCCACCCCGTGTTGTGCAGTTCTGTCCTCTTCCCTGTGCTTTCCGTCCCCCTTACCATTATGTGCTTGTCCCCATACACTGCATCATGTCTGGAATGTAGAACTCAGAGTAAGAGGTTTATAAAAATTTTCACAAATAAATAAATGACATGAATATTTTTCTGACCTGTAACTAAACAGCAAGTCAAGGTCGGGTACATGGGCTTGTTTTCCATGAAAACTGTCAGCAAGTGGAATCTGGACAATTTTTAAATTTGATAAGCATCTATTCATTTGGTAATTACTTACTGGGTAATTATCCACTGTTTTCCCCTGATGATTTTATTTAACTCATTATAAATAAGCTGGTTTAGCAAAGGCATTCAAGTTTTGCTACTGTGTTTCTTTAGGAGATAGCACTAGGAATCAGGAAGGCTCCTTTTCATTTTTCTTTGCGGGGCTGAGGGTGAGCCCTGGGGCCTTACATGTCATGGCAGTTACTCACCACAAACCCCAGCTCCTGCCTTTGGGTTTTGAGATAGGCACTCACTGTGCAGCCCAGCCTGGGCCTGAGCTTGGGCTGCTGCTGTAGATACCTCCTTAGTGTTAGGATTACATCAGTACACTACCTCAGTGTGCCTAGAGCTACACTTGAAATTCCTGCACCCTCTCTGCTTGTGTTCGTGAGACATCCTGCTTTTAGTCATTTTTGTTCAATTTCCTTTCAGGCATTTAGACTTTTTTGAAATGCTCCGAAATGAAGATGAACTAGAATTTGCCAAAAGATTTGAGCTGGTATGTAGTCTTGTAATTGTTCTGGTGTGACATGTCAAGTCAAAGGATTTGCCTCTTGAAATGCTTGTTCTGAGTTGGTGGGGTCCAGTGCACCTCCTGAGCTAAGTCAGGACCCTGTTCTGTTACCTACCTGGCAGGATTCGACTGAATTTGCATCTTCCTCTATCGGGAGAATCAGATGTCTGATTGGGCTTTGTTTTCCCTATAAACCAGGTTCACATAGATACAAAAAGCGCCACTCAGATGTTTGAGCTGACCAGGAGGAGGCTGACCCACAGCGAAGCCTACCCCCACTTCATGTCCATTCTGCACCATTGCCTCCAGATGCCTTGTGAGTGCTCCGACAGTGTGGATGCCACTGAGACCTGGGACAGTGTCCAAAGTGCTTGCTCTGTATTTTCAGCAGTACTAACTAGATTGGGACATACCAGGGACTCTAAGCCTCAGCTTTGTGGCTCGCCAGTGTTTGTTTCCTCACAGATTAAGGGCAGTTATGAAATCCTCAAAATGAAATGACCTATAATTTACTTTGATTTCAAAATAAATGCATGCCCTACAACACATGTAGAAAGGGGTATGGAGAACGCCTCCTGACCAGGTCTGTGGCTCTAAAGGGTGCCTGCTCTTGACAGCGACTCCTCCTAGTTTGCAAACAGCTTGAAGATGGCTTTCTATCCCTCTCTTCCGTTTTAGACAAGAGAAGTGGTAACACGGTTCAGTACTGGCTGCTGCTGGACAGAATCATACAGCAAATAGTTATCCAGAATGACAAAGGACAGGACCCCGACTCCACACCTCTGGAAAACTTTAATATTAAGAACGTTGTAAGAATGTAAGTCTCTTCTCATCTTGCCACCTGTGAGATAATGAGGGTATGCAAGATACTCAGTTTGTCCTACCCCAAATAACAGCAGGGACAGGTGAACTGTCCTAGGGGTCAAAATGAGCTGTGAGTAAACATGACTCCATCTAAGTGACATCTGGGCTTCCCTGGTTTCCCTGAGGACTCTGTGCAGTACACAGTCTGTGTGCCCAGGGAGACCACGTCTGGCAATGCACACATTTTGTTTTCTGTAACAAGTATTCCTTCAACTGTCCCACAGGTTGGTTAATGAGAATGAAGTTAAGGAATGGAGAGAGCAGGCGGAGAAGATGAGGAAAGGTAAGCGGCCGGCCGGGCTCCAGCTGCGAAGGAGACCGGGTGCTGGAGAGTTCAAGTCACGGCTCGGGCTCACTCTGTTCGTCAAGTAGCCTTTCGGTTTTCACACCTTAGGGCATTTTTCATTGACTTTTAAAAATCAAACCACTTAGTTTTCTTGCTATTCCCAAGGTATTTCACCCTTTTGTTTTATTACTTTGTAAATAACTTTAGAAAAGAGTGTAACATTTGCTATTCAGAATTTATAATTGAAGACAAAGATTAAAGTTGTAGGTACTTTTTTTTAAGGGCCCTACAATGTCTCTGCAGGTAAAGGTCCTTGCCGCCAAGCCTGACAGCCTGAGTTTGATCCCCAGAACCCACGGAATAGGAGAGAACTGATTCTTACTTCTGCCCTCAGCATATGCTCTCTGCATACACTCATGCACACACACACACACACACACACACACACTCACAAGAATTCGTTAAGATTTCTTTAAAACTACTGAGCCCACAAGTCCCCACCTCACAGCCTCGCTTCACTTAAAGTGTTTTGGGTTTAAATAAATACAGCAAGAAGGTTTAGGTTTCTTCAGAGTCTTAGGACAAAAGCTTAGGCACCTTGGTGCCAGCAGTTCTGTTCTCTCCATGGCCGTAATGTGACACCAGTCATGGGAAGAGAAACCATGTAGAAAATTAATGGCCACTGTAGATATGTGTTGTGAGTGTTAGCAGGCCAGCAACTAGTGGTACTGGAATATGCCTTTGATGTTCTCAGCCTCTGATGGGAGAGACATTTATGTTCCCCCTGGTGCCAGCCACTTCAGAAGCACACAGCTTGCCTCCTTCCTTCAGAAGCTTAGCAAATTAAAGTCACCTTTGGGAAACAGCTGCACTCTCCCACACCTCACCATGGATGATGGACTGCCTTCCACTTGTCAAAGTCATTCAGTCAGAGCTGGTGAAATACAGCCACAGTCACTCAGGCTCTGATGTCCTGAAGCAAGTGGCCAAGAGGTGGCCCGAGCACTCCCTTTTCTCACACCCCATTTCCTCAGAGCCACCAGAGGTAGCACCTGACGGTCGCCTTTCCCAGAGTCATCTGAGGCCATCTCAGTTTAGGGATTGCCTTGGTCAGATTGGCCTGTGGGCCTGTCTTTGAAACATTTTCTTGGTTGAAAATTGATGTAGGAGGGCCCAGCCCACTCTGGGCTGGGCCATCCCTAGGCTGGTAGGCCTGAGGTGTATGAGAAAGGTAGCTGACTTTGAACCTGAGAGCAAGCTTCAAGCTCCCACTCAAGTTCCTGTATTATCTCCCCTCAATGACTCACTGAGACCTGGAAGTATAAGAGAAAATGTGCCCTTTCTTCCATTGGTTGCTTTTGGTCATGCTGTTTACCACAGCTATGAAAAGCAAATGAGAGCAGTCAGTGAGTACATGCTTAAGAACGGACTCTAGTGTGTGTAGGTTTCAGTTTACAGTTGAGAGCATTTGGGACATGAGATTTTTCGGTCATCCAGCCGTACATTCAGGGGATACCTGAGTGTCTCTGATGCTTTGAATTGTGCTGCCGTCCCAGTGGGAGTCTGAACCCCATCTTCCTTCCTGTGATCTCCTCTTTCACAACATGGAAAGTGAAAAATAAAACTAAAATAAATGGAAAGTTAGCATAGTGTAGCACATACTAACTACACAGCAACCATTATAGGGTTCAGGGCTAAGGTGGCACAGGAGAAAGTCTCCAAGGTCAGTGGGAGAATGGGGTGGTCAATAAAGTTATGGTCAAACAAAAGAGAAGAGAAATTATAGATAAAAGTGACTTCTTGTCTGGAAGCTTCAGCTGACAAAGTTAGATTGCATTCAAAGGAGGAGACAGGAAGTTGTTTGAACCTAAAGTTGGAGAATGCTTGAGGGAGAAGACTATGGAGGCCAGGTCTCTGAGGTGTTGATAAAGCCTTCATGAATGGATAGTAAATGATGCCAGTTTGTGAGTCAGTTTCCAGGCTGGCACTTCCCAAACCTGCCATCACCTCAGGACCATCAAGGAGTTTGTCCAACCAGTTCCTAAGCCCTGCTCCCTACCCCACCACCCACCACTTATAGATTGGCTGCAGAGGGATTTGGCCAGTGGTCTTGAATTGTTAATAGCTCTCACTGCATCTGAGGCATAGCCAGATTTGTCAAAGACTAATGAAACTGGGGAAGGAACGTCCCAAATCTCTTAATTATCGGTGACAAATGAAGTGGAGACAGAAGAAGGAAATGGGAATAGAAGCAGACCGGAGTCAGGCGGCAGTGTAGTGGTAGATGTGACTGGAGGTTCTTTTTATCTGAAAGCTGACAAAAACAAGGATTCATGGCTCACACCTTCCTACAAATTCCAGTTTGGAGAGCCATAGAGGAGGGAACTTCAGAAAGAGACGGTAGGAGCTTAAATGTGTTACCAAATTCAGAAATAGAGACCAGCTGTGTATTGCTCAGTTCCAGTGGGTGGTATCACTAGTGCATTTGTTGACATAAAAAGAAGAGGCTTTGAGGGCAAGCATTTGAAATAAAAACCTGCAGCCTAGGCTTCATCATTTCTCATCTCCGAAACCCATCACTTCTCCCATCCCATAGCTTTATATTCCTTGGCAAAATGGATGCCATTACACTGAATTAGATACGTCCTTCTATCCTCCCCCTCCATCCTCTGACCCCGACCCTTCCACACTTGAGAAAGTCATTGAACCACACCTGAGACCTACTGTTTGTCCTCCCAGTCCTGTGGTTCCTGACCCTTCCACACCTGAGAAAGTCATTAAACCTCACCTGAGACCTACTGTTTGTCCTCTCAGTCCTGTGGTTCTCATGCCTAATCAGTTTTGCTACCCTTAAGATATTGAAAATGGAGACAATAACATTTGCTTTTACTAGTTTTAATAATCCCTTGCCAGAATAATAAAGTAGTTCAGGTAGCCTTCCAGGAGGGCAGGGGGACATAACTCCAGCTTCACAGTGCACACTAGGCCTGCTAGCAGCTCTCTGTTGCAGCACAGAATCCTCCTCCTGCTAGTAAGATACAAGCCAACAGATTTCCTCCACCAGAGCTGGGCTTCTCCCTAAGCCATTTCTCATATGTGAGAAGGGGCCTTCTTTTTAATACACTTTTCCCTAGTATTGCTGTTAGTCTACCAATATGACAGGATTCAGAATTAAGGTACCATTTTCTGTGAGAAGTTGTTCAAACTTTGTTTTTTGTTTTGTTTTTGTTTGTTTGTTTGTTTGGTTGGTTGTTTTGTTTTGTTTTTTTCATTTTTAGAACCATGGCTTTAAGGCCTCTTCTTTGGTCTTTCCCAAAATGTAGTTACTAAAATAGTTGTAGGAGGCCTTTCCCCCAGCGCAGGCACTAGTTAGTTCTTGAATTGCCCTTCAAAGGAGAAGAAGAAGAATACCTGGGTCAGGCTGACCCACAACTTCTACATCTTTCTCAGCCCATTTTTTTTTTTTTTTAAAGAAAATGGCTTCTCTCTGACAACTCCATTTTCATGTCCTGTTGTTCTCTTGTATAGAGCACAATGAGCTACAACAGAAGCTGGAGAAGAAAGAGAGGGAATGTGACGCCAAGACCCAAGAGAAGGAAGAAATGATGCAGACCTTAAACAAGATGAAAGAGAAGCTGGAAAAGGAGACAACTGAGCACAAGCAAGTTAAGCAGCAGGTGGCAGACCTCACGGCACAACTCCATGAGCTCAACAGGGTAAGCGAGGGCTGATACCCAGCCTCCTGTCTACAAGGGTGAAAAGACCCTCTTGGACCCTGGGCCTACTGCTGAAATAGATAGCTCTGATGAGATCTGAAATGCTTCACAGTTTATTTGAACCGCCTGTCCTGTGACTTAGGCAGCCAAGGTGGTTTGAGGTTGGGTTTTTACCACCAGTCTTGTCCTAAGAACAAAAGAAGATCACATTAGCTTCTTAGAAAAGGGATGCCATAAAACCAAACTGTGGGATGATGCAAGAAATGATAGCTAACAGGTTCCAGAGACAGGCCCTTATGTGTCCGAAGACATGAGGGTCAAGATACCCACCCTCGAAAACCATCTCCTCAAAAATGTGGGTGCTTTGGTACACATTCCTTCAACAAGATTAGATTCTTAAAGTCGTTCAGTGAAGTTTCTTCCATTGACTCTCCGGGTCTTCTCTTTCCAGAGGGCCGTCTGTGCTTCAGTCCCAGGAGGAGCCTCACCTGGAGCCCCAGGAGGACCCTTTCCTTCCTCTGGGTTGGGGTCTCTTCTCCCTCCCCCACCACCCCCACTCCTTCCAGGTGGAGCACTTCCCCCTCCACCACCTCCCCTCCCTCCTGGGGGTCCTCCTCCTCCCCCAGGGCCTCCTCCCTTAGGAGGAATCCTGCCACCTCCTGGTGCTCCAGTGAGTCTAACACTAAAGAAGAAAAACATTCCCCAGCCCACCAATGCCCTGAAATCCTTCAACTGGTCCAAGCTGCCTGAGGTAAGCCATTTGTTCCCTTTTTCCCATTAGTGGGTTAGTGGGTGGCACCTGCAGCTCTGTGTCCTCAGAGGGGAAATGTCCCTGCTGCTGGGTAGCTTGACCATCTAGTGTGGACTCAGGGTTCTCCCTAGCTCCTGTGATAGTTGATAATTCTCTGTCATAATTATACATTGCTCAAACCAGCTCACTGGAGCATCCTGTAGAATTATGAATTTGAGATAGTGGTACTTTAAAAAAAAACCATACTTATTCTTTTTTGTGTATGACTGTCAATCATGGAACTTATTGACTTGCTGTTTCTAGAACAAATTGGATGGAACAGTATGGACTGAAATTGATGATACCAAAGTCTTCAAAATTTTAGACCTTGAAGACCTAGAAAGAACGTTCTCTGCCTACCAAAGACAGCAGGTAACAACACGAGCCTTCTAGATGCCCCAAAGTACCGTGTCCTTATGCATGGTCCCTGGGCCATGCTTTTTGGTCTCCCCAAGGTGTTCCTACAAAGCAGCATAGCTACATGTCCATGTGTGTGTGTCCAGTGGCCCATCAGTGCATGTAAACCACTTGAAGGCATGTGGACTTCTTTGTGGAGAAGCTTCCTACCATAGTGTATCTACATCTTCTTTATGTATGTATAGACAGCACTGTATGTTAGCTGTGCTTACTCAAGGAATCTCTAGGCAAGATAGGGTTCCCTTGCAGTATTTGTTTTTGAAGCCGTGTTGGGTTGTCGGAGTTAAGAGAAATATCAAAATGGTTAGGCTCAGAAGAGAAATGCTTTTTGGACTAGACAGACTCTTTAGAAGTTTGGGGTTTGGTAAGAACTATAATTTGGCAGCTGAGTAGAATCTACAGAGGAGTCTTACCCAGACGTCATGAACGTTATAGACTCACTAGTAGGGTTGTGCAAGCTGAGCAAGTGCGAAGCTGTTAAGGTAACAGTAGAGCCAGAAAAGCTACTACTATACTCCCATAATGGTGGCCAGGACATGGCGCAGGGCATATTGCCTGCACACACGGACAGGCCCTAGTAGGTAGCCTCCTTGTATGAGCCTTGGACACATCTGTGTAGACTCTCTGGTAGCTCTAGAGGACTTTCTCCAAAGGTCTAAAGTGTAGGTAAAAAAGTTAGAGTAGGGTAGCTAGGTATAGAGAATTCAGAGGAACAAAGTAAAGGAGAGAAACAAAATCAGTCAGAGCCCTGGACAAGGGAAAATTGAGCCCAGGAGTATGGCGAGAAAGGTTCTTAAGGCAAACCACAGGGGAGGACATATAAATGAGCACACTGCCTTTAGATGAGCCAACAAGTGGCAGGCATCTGCACAGGGGAAACCGAGAGCTTCCCTGGCAGCCTAGCTCCTGTGTGAATCATGAGCAGGGTGCATCATCCTTAAATAAGCAGCAGCCATCCTAGTCTGCTTTCTTAGCTTAGCTCCTCAGAAAGGCTGCCTCCAGAACAAAATGCTAGGTACCAAGGAGGAGATGGACAGAGGCTAGGGAAGAATGAAGCTGGGGATTTTTTTTCAAGATGGTTTCTGATATATTTGTGTGGGAGACAGGGTGTTATTCACCAGAGGATTTTACTGTGGGAGAGGGAGAGTGTGTTCTGTGCAGAACCTTTTTATGCTGGTTCAGTAGACTAGGAAAATAAAGTCCATAGCCTGCCATGATGCCATTAACCCTAAAACAGAAGTTCTCCCCCAGCCCCTTCGTAAGTACCAAGATGCCATGCTCAGTGTTGTATACACCAAGCTTGGGAAGGTGACAGAAAGGGAGGTGAGGGGTTGTTCAGAGGAGAACAGTGCACCTTATATCTCAAAGAACAAACAAAGGTGTGCTCAGAGCTCCTGTCCTGCAGCTACTTGGCCCAGTTCATTCCCAATTGTGTTCTCCTTCTCTCTCTGGTGCCCTAGGAAGGAGACGCCTGGATCCGGGCAAAACATTTTAGCAAGTTTCCATGTAATTCAAGTAATCTTGTGATCTGGTTACAAGTCCCATTTCTTTCGCACTTCAGGATTTCTGAGGTGAAGGTTTAGAAACATAGAAAAGTGTATGAAATGGAGGGAAAGCAGCAAGTACCGCATGGTGCAATTCAAGTCTGAGCATGTGAGCTGCATTTGTGATGAAGGCAGGTGGTTGAGAGGCCCAAGTTTACAAGCCTCATAATTAACCGGCTTTCAGCAGAAAGTGCAGGAGGATGCTGCCAAAATGCTCTGGGACAAATATGTGGACAGTTTTCAAGAGTTCTGGGAGGGACAATTACAGAAAGCTCTGCAACTGAGTAACTGTTTCCTAGCAACCAGCACTGTTTAATTAATCAGTACTCATCCCTGACAGGATAGACCAGAACATTTTATTTTTTCTTAACATTGGGTAGATTGATGAGGATGGGCAATCACTGTATTTCCAGCAATACTTTCTGAAGACAAATTTCAACACACCCTCACTCACCTCTTGAGTATTTTAAATATTCCCCTTCTGGTATAAAAATAGAAGATAAACCATCAATTTATTTCCCAAATGAGGGTAACTTGAGCTACTTCATTGCATTTCCATTGTTGAGTCAGAAAATGAAAGGCTACAGGCATCTTAATTGGAATATGTAGGTCAGAGTAAATGAGGTATTCCCCTCATCCCAGAGTACAGCATCAAAGTCCTGTGTGTTCTTTCTGAGCATGGCAACACAATGTAAATATCACCACACTTAAACTGCTCTTATTTCTAGTCCCGAATGAATACCAAGAACCCATCTTTTTCCATGGTAGCTCTTTCCTTCCTCCAAAGGTATGAAACTTGTCTAACTCTGGACTTTAGCCATTTGTTTGTGTTGATGAGTTTTTCAGGCATTTATCATACCACAGGTGTCTGATAGGACCATCTAAGCCTAACTAATTTTGACATAACTCAGCATAGTTTAAATAAGGAGTGACACTTTGGGAATGTATGCATGCATGTATATATAAACACACACCTACATAAATATATACATTTGCCTATATTTATAAGCTTATATGCTATTCTATCATTCAAATCAGGCATTTAGTTTGTCTCCTTTATATATAAACTGTGTCAAAGGATCAGATTATTCAAAGTCATTCAACCTTTACATGAGCCTGCAGTATAATTATAGCATAAAGCAGAGATGAGAGAACCATAAGTAACTGTTATATGGACCAAGGCGGTAGTTGCTATTGGGAACTGGTTATGTTTCTGGTACTGGATGTGATATAAACAGTTCTTATTCTCATCAACCATAAAATTTGGTGCTCAAGAAGCTTCAGTACCTATTTCCTTATTTACTTCTCACTCCAGCCCTAGGAAGGAGGTAATAATCTTATATTGCAGATACTGTAAACAGGACTTAGTGTGTCCTCAGCATCCCAACAGGCACTAGCCACACTCAGGACTACAGACTGCCGAGTTCTCACTTTCTCTTTGTTCTCCCATCTGTGGCTTTATTCATGGCCACCACCAGACTGTAGAGAGTGCATTCATTAAAGGTGTAAAGAGCCCATTGTGTAAGCTTATGCCTCCCATGAAATGGAGTGTAACAGCATGCAGCTCTTCCCCTGTGCACACTCCAAAAGTTCATTTGAAAGTCAATTCCTTGAACCTCGAGACCTTTTCCCCACTGGAACTACATTACACATGATCTCCAGGTCTGCCCCAAGAGACTAGTTTTTAATATATAACATTGGATGCTGTATAATAGTTTTATGAAAATACAGTTGAATAGTCTTTACATTTGTAATGGGAAATTTCATCCTGGCATGCTATCAATTCACTATTATCTATACAGTTGGATAGAAGGAACATGAGGTAAAGAGATTATGTTTGCCTAAGGAAGTCTTCACACTCGAAGCTCACAGTGTCTCTCTCTGCCCTGCCCGTTGCCTGTGGACAGCTCTTCCTTTAGGAGCCTCTGATCCATCCCTACACAATGTAACATTTCAAAGCCATCATCCTTTGATTTAGGGAACAAAAGAAAGCTACTGGCCCAGGCTCTGTCCTCTAACTCCAGTGCTATTTTAAGTCCTTCAGAGTCCCATTTGGGGTATTCGGCCAGATCTACAGGTTCCTTAAGAATGGTCAAATAATTTTTCCCCTTTGCTTTTTACAGTCAAGTTAGTTTGTGCATTTAATTTTCACATAGAAAAATCTTAAGACAGTTTTGCACCCTTCTTCAGTGATGTCAGTTTTCTCACTTTACCTTGCAATGCTGGAGATCAAATCTCAGGCTTCATGCATTCTAAGCAAGTGCTCTCCCACAGAACTGTATCTCCAGCTCTCAGTCAGCATAGTTCTTAGTCTTAGCGCCAAAAGACAAGAAAAACTGTAAAGAATGTTGTTGGGTTTGCTTATTTAAGTGTAGGGCTGCAGAGATGGTTCAGTAGGTAAAGTAACACCAAGCCTAATAATGACCTGAGTTCTAACCCACACAGTAGCAGAGACTAGACTTCCACAGTTGTCTTCTGACTCCATGCATATGTTATGACATGAGGGTGCACGTGTGCACACACACACACACAGATAAAAAAAATTAATAAACATAGTTTTTACATAGTTTGAAGGTCTCTGGTAAGAATTATCAAATAAGTATTATATGTAAATATTAGCATATGTTTGAATTTGAAAGGATTAAAATCCATTCATGTAAAGATTATCCTTATCTGTCCAAGGCTGAGCCATCATTTTATTGTGGAAGAGTTTATAGTAATTTACAAGCATTGCTCCCTGAAAATTCAAGTACCAACCTCTTAGTTCTATTCCAAGCTCATATATATTCCCCTTAGATCTCCAAGGGAATAGGCTTTAAACAGAATCTTAGAATACTTGACATGAGCCTGAGAGCTTCATAATTTCTAGTATGCCCCGCCTAAAGAAACCATCTCATTTGTGATTTCATGTGTAAAATGTTAATTACTGGGTCTTCAGAGAAGGACTGTCTTAAGGCTAACAGTTACCAAACCCTCTAATGGCAGTCTTCACCCTCCCTGGCAATATAGGCTGCACCACTTAGCAACTGACTGCCATGCTTATTGCTGCTCTTGGTTACAGATGGACCAACTGTTCTACCAACTCGGCCAAAGGAAGACCAGAGTGGGGAAAGTGGCTTAGTTCAAAAACTTAAATAATAGTGTCTTGATTGCTTCTAAATGTTGGCTCATAAAGATGTGTCAGATACTGAATAGGAGTTTTAGTCTGCATTATTACATGTAACCCTCACCATAGTAATGGCTAGATAAACTGGTCCACCCCAGGACCTAAACCTAGTAAATCACAGCTGCCTGATTCCACAGACTGTTGTCCCAGAGCTCAGATGTCTTCATTTCTCAACAGTGTGAATGAGTTTAAGGCATAACATGACGTTCCAGAAAGCTTCATAAAAAATTCTGTTTTGAAGAGTAGACAGTGAGAGCAGGGTCTTTCTAAATTAAGACTTTTCTCTTTGGTTAAGTTGCCTTATAGAGTTTGTCTCACCAAAGTCTTCTGCCTTTTAAACTACTTCTATTAGAAGAGTTCTAAAGACCTTGAGAGTAGAAAATCTAACTCATACCAGGGGCAAAAGAAAACTGGGATATCAGCAGAAGAAAAGTTTTTCTGTGGTTATCAGCTTGCTTTTTAAATGCCTTTCCAGAGAAGCAGGTCTCCTTGTATGGGCAAACCAGGGGTGGGGGTGGGGGGCACATTCTGTTTCCCACTGGAAGAATTATGCGAAACAGTTCATCTGTATAAAATTGGCCTTGGCAGTGCTGCCGAGATCAGGGAGACCTTAAGGAATCTGCTGAGCAAATGCTAGTTGTACACACTATTGGCCTGAAAGCTGCGACGTGTTTTGCACACCAAATCTTCTCTTTCTCCTGCCTTGCAAAAGTATGCAGGAAGAGCTGCCACTTTCTCATAATATAACATTAGCTCGTCTTTCCCATCTTTACTTGAAGAATTCTCTAAAAATTCTTTCAAGGTGAAGCTATTGACCTTGTCTGCTTGAACAGTCCTGAGACCCCTGGGACATGGCCACCTATAACTGCACCAGTGGTTTCTCAGTTTTCATGCTTTTCCTCCCCCTCCCTACAGCACCGGCTGCCATGGTTTGCACCCTCTAGGAAAGGGAACTAGAGTTGGTGTCGCTCATGTGGGTCACTCTACTGTCTTTTCTTAACTCTTCCTTATGATACAAGAAGACAGGTATTTCCACCAAAGAGAAGCACATTTTCAAGAACAGTGTGATTGTTCAGTCAAGCTGATGAATTTAATTGTTAATCTTCAAGTAAAAAAATTGAACATGGTGGCTGGGAATATAGCTCAGTGATGAAGTACTTGCCTAATGTGGGTATGTGACTTATTTTGAGCATCATGTGAATGTATGTGTGTGTGTGTGTGTGTGTGTTTATACAGACACACATACGCTCCTGCACACATGTACATGTGCACGCACACACAGTCACATTCAACCATGCATGCACCACATTAAGTAAATGGGAGCCTGGTGATTGTCTTAAAGAGGAACTCTCATATTCCTTCTCCTTCTAAGCCCTCTTCTTTCCTGAATTTGATTTGCTCCCACTTGAAATGGTGTGTAGCAAATGCCATTTGTCATCTTACACTGTGATCTTCACTGTATCTTCAACCAGACTGGCTCACTTGAGCTAAGGATGGTAAGGGCAAGAAAGATCTCCTGCCCTCTTGCCCTGCACCACCAATGTCCTTGACTGCTTTGACTTTCCCTGTTTGTTGCTGTGGTTTCTGAACTGCATGTATCTGATTTGCTTTTTCTATGCCTCTGCCATGGCTGTAGGAGTTCTTTGTGAACAATAACTCCAAGCAGGTAAGTGAGCTACTATATAACCCTTACTTAACACAACTCCTTGGCTCACTGTAAGCTTGAAATCCCTGGTTATCTTGTTAGATAATGTAATTCAATGACTAGGTGACTCCACTCTGGGATTCAGCTCTTCCTGGACTGTCTTGAGGTACGCCTGAAATCCAAGCACAAGAAACCTTTTCTCATTTAGCCCCATGGTTCTCCATTATTCATTCACACTGCCTATGCTTCGTAAACTGTGACACAGTTCCAAAGCTCTCTGATTTCTCTTTATTTTTTAAATGCCATAGTGCGTTTTTAATAGTCCCTAACCACTAATGAAATCAATTGGCTACTTACCGAGTTAGCTTATAGTCTCACCTTGACCTTTGTATTGTATTGCATCTAATTGTTTTATGCCCGTTCCACCTTCGTTATATCTGGCCATCAAGAATGAATAAAGTAAACAAATAGTGTTCAATTGTTAATTCTGGTAGCTGAACAGATTTCAACTGCCCTATCTCCATTGTCCGTCTGTCAGGCGTGGGAAACGAGAAGTACATTTGTTTTTTGGGGACTTCCCGTTACACACGAAGGTGTTTGGGGGTTATTTTTCAACTTTCTTGTCTGCTAAGGATTGCACATGGTTCTTAGGTGAACAGACCCCATAAATGACTGGACCAGTAATGACAAGGCTCTGCTAAGCTTGATTCACAGTGACAGTTCTTCTGTCTGCTACTCATTGAGATTTGAGGAACAAAAGAACAGCATCAGGCAACGATAATTTATGCACATCTAACATCTTCAACTTGGAGATTCTTTGTTCTTCTAAATAATGCTTTTTCAAATGTGGGTGGTCAGCTTTGTAATTGTCTTTGCCAAGTAGAGAGTAGCCTTTGTTTTGACTGTACCACCTTCTGAACATCGCCTCGTCATCTGAGCTCGGCCAGTGTATGTGTGTGTGCACAGAGAATGTGGAGGAAAAGTGTGTGTCTGGAGCCTGACGATCCACATTTGACTTTGATGGATGTCTCTTGTGTTCTTTCCAGAAAGAAGCAGATGCCATTGATGACACACTGAGTTCCAAACTTAAAGTCAAAGAGCTGTCAGTGATTGATGGTCGGAGAGCTCAGAATTGCAACATCCTTCTGTCGAGGTACTGTTGGTGCTGAATAAACATGGCTGGGAGGACCAGCTCTCCTCTTAGCTTAGAACCACATGGTTGCTGTTTAGTTTTATTCATTTTCTGCTCAAGTACAAGTCTTCCAAGCCCCTTTTGTGTAGAGTGAAGTGACATGTGCTGGTGTTACTTTTCCTGGAGAGATCTCTTAGGCTGAATACTGACCCTGATGTTTCCTTTCCAGAAGCCTAAGAAATAAACTGACATCATTGAAATCTCGTGGTTATAGACACAGTTTTGTCCTTGAGTCACACTATCACTGAGTCAGGAGCTGTGTTGGTGCGTCTTTAGTTTGTTTTTTGTTGTTTTTTTGAAACAGGGTTTTTCTGTGTAATAGAGCCCTGGCTGTCCTAAAATCACTTTGTAGACCAGGCTGTCCCCCTGAACTCACAGAGAGCCCCCTGCTTCTGCCTCTGCCTCCCTCCTAAGTGCTGGGATTAAAGGCGTGAACCACTATTCTTGGCTGTTTTGCTTTCTAATATCACATTTCTATATTTCAACATTACATGAGTTCGTTTTCTCCTTTTGAACATCGCTGTTTTATAAAGATATGTAAATCTCAGTGAAATGTTACTTTATCCAGTTCAGCCTTGTTCAAAAATCTTTCTTATAACTTGTAAATTTTAAAACCTTAGAACTTGAAATGAAAAACGGAAATTGGGAGCCTGAATTGTGATTGCAACCTCTGGCAGCGTTGTTCGGTCATTCCATATTTCAAGTGGCTTTTTGATATGTAGTTAGGCAAAGATAACTAATGCTAAAGAGGTGCAGGAAGATGCAGACGATGCTGACGGTGAGACCTAAAGGATAAGGCGCAGACTGGGAAGGACGGCATGTGTGCATCGGGCTGGTGTAAGGTGACTCGTGGAGGGAGCTACGATGAAAAGTAGATGTCCTTATTCCTGAAGTGGCCATCGACTGAGTTTCTGTGAACACAAAGAGCTGCTGCTTGGTTTCAGCATAGAAGCCTGATTGTTGGCCGGGTGTATATTATTACTTCAAGGAGCAAGTGTTTCCTTTAGTGAAAGAGAAATTGAGCCTTCATGAGATCTTTGAATTTTAATGTAACGTGTAAGGTAATGTGAGCCCCCCCACACACATACACCTCACCCCTGCTCTGAGTGGAAGCTGTAGAAAGGGCCAAGCCCCTCGAGTCACTTTTGTACCATCCTTGAGTTAGATGAAGGATCTGCCTTAAGTTGGCACCACTGGAGTGTCCTACTCACTTTCTTCCATGGTGTGTGTATTTATGTTGTTACTATTTCCCAAATAACATTCCTATTGGAAATGTAAATGTAGATCTGGGGAAAGATGTATGTTTGTTTGTTGTATTTTTTTAAAGATCTTTCTATGTATTTGACTGTTTTTGTCTGCATGTATGTCTGTGTACCATGCATGTGCCTCATGCCCATGGAAGTCAAAAAAGGCTCTCAGATGCTGTGGGACTGTAATTCTGAATGTTTGTGAGCCCATATGTGGGTTCTGAGAATCAAATATTGGTCCTTTTTACTCCTGAGCCACCTCCCCAGCCCCAAGTTATTGTTGTTTTGTCTTAATCTGAATCCCTCTGCCTCTCTTGTGCATCTGCTGTCCAGAGCACTTTCAACACAATACTTGACAAAGGGAGACATCACTCAGAATTTCTACAGTGGTGAAATGCTTGGAGAGTACAAACTAAGACCTCATTCCTCATAAAGAAAGTATTCCCAGTGCTCAATGCCAGCCAGGATAATTGCCCAGCCTACAGATAAGGTTACAACTCTCTCTGGCTAATTTCCCAATCCATTATTGAGGGAATTATTTTGTATCTGTAGTGTGCAAATCCCAATACTTCAAATGTCTCAGAGCCTAAGGTAAAGTAATATAGCACTGTATGTGTATAAATGTTCCCTTTTTCTCTCCAAGAAAATTTGCCTGGAACCTCGTTAGACTACCTATGGAAATTCTTAATAATTTGTGGTTTATTTCAATTTCTAGACAGTTAGGAGATTTTAATCTCTCTTTCTTTGGCAGTTCATTATTACATACAAAAAGCAATTAGGGACTTGCAGCAGCAGAGTATGCCCAAAAGCATGTCTGTACGTCTTTCTTAAGACAGTAGGACTTTGGGGCATTTGCTTGCACACCACTGTGCTAGGTGCATATATACCAGAACTTACGATGGTGCTGTGGCTTTGTTCTCCTCTGAAGAGGTGTTGAAGAGTTGATCCTCAGTGCACAGCTTAGAGGGGGATGGTAAAAGGTGATTGGATCATGAGGGCTCTGAACATAAAAATGGACTCATTCATTCACTATGAGGATATAAACTAGGAATGGACACCTGGAGGAAAGATGTTTCTGGGGTGCATCTGTGAGGGTGTATTGTGTCTCTGGCACCTTCCTGTCTGTCTTGCCCCTTCCCAAACCTATCACGACAGCAGCCTTTTGCTTAGCTGTGCTCTCCCCACCGTGATGCTCTGCCCCACAATGGGCCCATAATGACAGGGCTACGAGACCACAGATGACAGCATCCACACCTCCACGTGTCCCTGCTCCATCCAACATCCTCACAACAAGTAGTGAATCCCAGTGAGGAAAGCAAATCAAATGGCATGACTGCCTTTGAAAACTCAAGGCCGATTGGAAAAGAATAATGTCACTGGAGAGGAGACGGCACAACCCAGGGCTTGCAGTGGCCTTACTGAAGTTACACAGAGGGCTCAGTCATATGAGAGAGGTGCTCGAGGAGGGCTTGGTAGAGAAAGTGTGTCTCAAAGTGTGTGCTCGGAAATGTGGGGGAGTAAGGAAGGCAGTTCTAAGCAGACTTCAGACTAGTAAAGCAAACCCTGCTGGAAAAGGAGGCCTTGGGATTGGCATTTGTAGTCAGTGAAGCCTGGCAGGAAAGCTTGACGTTCAGTCTTGGGCCTTTTAGGGACACACACACAAGTCAGCCATAATCAAGTCATAACTCCTATTCTATAGAGTGAAGATCAGTGAAGATCGTGGCCAGAGAATGGGGCTGGTTCCCAATGAGAGCAGTGTGTTTCTTGTAATATGACTTCAAATTTGCCTGGTTTGCAATGTCAGGTAGAAGGGATCAAGCACTGGTTGCAGAAGAGACACCAGATAGGATTCTCTTTCTATTGTCCAGGTAAGATATGTAGGGGCCAGAACTGACAGAGATGAGAAGCCTTTTGTAAGAACTGGCATTTCATTTTGTACTTAGGGATAATCAGAAATATAAAATTATAATCAAAAATTATGTCAAGTTTTCTGGCTTTCTACACATGCAGTGCCTTCTCCCTGCTTATTTCCCTCATGAAGGCTGCTGTCCATCTGTCCCTTGTTGATGGAGGATTTATGTCACAGCAATCATTACACCAACATCTGTAGCAATGAAAGGCTCTGGCATATTCTGTATGTTGTATTTTCAATATATGCATACCCCCCAGTATTTGGATAGCCTTTATAGCTTCCTTATGTGCTACAGAAGCTAGGTAAGGGCGACCTGCCACCACCTGAAGCTTTTTTTTTTGGGGGGGGGGCTCTTTTTAGAGCCCAAAGCAGGTGGCTGCTGTGTTGTTCATGGAAAGTAGGTGTTTACAGCTTAAGTGACCAAGGTCACCTGAAGCTCTTAAGAGCAGAAGGAAGAGAAATTGTTCAATGGAGGGACAGCAGTGCTTTCCTATCACATGTGTGAGGAAAATGGAGTGGCCATAACGTACCTCAGTGGCCTTAACGAAGCTATTAAGAACTTGCCTTCTATGTGTTTCTATATTAAAACCCAATTTAATTATTTTTTATTATAATAGTCCCTCAGTAGCATAAGCAACTTCTCTACTGTCTGTATATGGATGACATGTAGCAGCTTAAAATTCAAACCGCTTTAATCACCAAAACAGGCATCCCCACCCACACCAGGAGAAAGGAAGGAAGGAAGGAAGGAAGGAAGGAAGGAAGGAAGGAAGGAAGGAAGGAAGGCAGACAGGAAGGAAGGAAGGAGGAAGGAAGAAGAGAGAGAGAGAGAGACAGACAGAGACAGAGACAGAGAGACAGAGACAG